AAAATTATTTCGTTATTCTCGTTCATCTTATTTCCATCTCCACTTACACCACCTTTCGGCGCCATTCTCTACCAAAGTGCGATTGAAAGAAAAAATCTTAATAACAATAAAGACCGATAACAGATTAATAATTCATTTCAAAGCGTTACTTTCGGTTTGGAAATTTTTCATATACTTGCTGCTATTTATTTCACTGTCAACTCAATACCAACTTATGTCTTTGAACGTGAGATATTCTATCAAAAATATGTGGGAATTTTTGCTTATCTAGCTCCGTCATGCTTTATAGAATATCCTACATAAACATTCGGTCGCCTGCCGCTTCTGTAGTTTTCTTTTACCTCATGGAGCAGGGGGCCAGATCGATTCCGTAACGTGAGAAATCGTCAGGCGTTGCTATTTGTCTCTCCTTTTGTAGGTTACGCATTTCTGTCTTACTGTCAAAACGTAATAGGATACCATTATACCGCGGATTTTCTCTAACAATACAGAAGATTTCCCTCACTTTGCCTAAAGAGAAGCATCCATTTGACACGACTCGCAAAGAATGCCCTTTAGAATGAGATACAGATAACTCGAACTTTAACAATCGGAAGACCGGTCTCGGTATAAATATTGTTATTTGACTATTGAGCGTTTAACAATTAATTAAATAAATTAAATGTTCACATGTACTCGTTAGGGACTGTGGAAAAACTAATGCGTCGATGTGTTCGAACAGTTTGTCTTTAGACAAACACAATGTCCGTACGATGATTGCTCGCAAAGTTTCTACCGACGTCTAAAGAGGCTCACGTTCGGTAGTTCATCCTTCGTAGAAGCAAGATAAGGAATATGGCACAGATTGTCAGTCGACCTAACGCGATTTACCAATATTTCATATTTTCTTGAGCGCATTTCGACCGCGTCCTCGTCCCGTTTCCCCGGTTCGATGCGCATTATTTAGACTAATTTCCCCGCGGGAGTGGAATTAACCCACTTTGTACATTCCACGGTCGCAATTCTTCACGGTCGCTCCGAGAATTTTGTCTCCGGAGGTGGAAGGCTCCCAACGAGATAAACGGCAGCTCGATAACAAAAGACCTCTAACGGGCTTACATTCACATCCCAGTCGTTTTACCGGCTCCCAAAGGCTCCTCCAGCGGCCTGTAAAATATTTAAGCTTCTTCGCGTGGCTGCTCGTGAAACCTGACACGTAGTTGCTCTCTTCCTTCTTAGGCCACGATTTCTGAAAATTTCACGGGCTTTCAGTGGCGAAGAACGTGGCTGCGGGCCGGTTACCGCGCGTATCTTTCATGTGAATCCATTAGCTAGATTCGTATTAATTGGAGTAACGAAGGAAAGCCATATTTAGGGCGTCCTACGACTATCGTACGCCGATCTCACCTCATTCACCATGACGTCGCGCGATCTAATCTTTCCATTTAAGCGTTGGTCTGAGAATGCTAACCGTAATCGTTCTTATTGAATTCGTGATGTGCCGCGGTGATTGCATTTCAGCCGTGTAAACTGTGCAGTGAAGTTTCCATCTAAAGGATCTTTCTATTATGCATAGTGTCACTTCTGCACTTGTCCACGTTTGTGTAGAGGAGACCGGGGCTGGATGTTTCGATTTGCGAGGAAACATAAAAATTGACTAAGAAATAATGCAGTTACTTCGATCGTTCCTGACTGATCTATTGCTAAAATTTATTATAAGATATATCTAAGAACGTATATCTATAATTTTAAGTAAGTCATTATTTCTAGAGAAGAGATTCCATAGATAAACGATAGTATTAAGGACCAAGAATATTAATAATTAAGAGGTTATAAATTATAATGATTTACGTAGCGTATTGAATTTTTCAAATACACGTGTAGTACATCACTAAACTTTGAATTTTATGCATTTAATATGTTTCCGGAAGTTTAGAACTCGTCGAATATTAAAATGAAATAAAATAAACATAAATAAAATTCTACTCAACGGATAAAGAATAAAATTTCACTTGTGAACCGACTAATAATTATATTTAATAAACGGACCTTAAACTCTTCATCGCGAACCTGAATCTGCATTACGAGGCAACAGGTTAATTGTGGAGAACATAACTGCGCTTGATCAACTGTGTAGATCATGCATATCTCACCGTGTTAATCAGAATTTAATTAACCAATATCGCATTCTTTCAACATATTTTGATCGTGTTCTAACGTATTTTGAACGTGTTAATCGACATAAAAATTAGCATACATATTTAATAACTTTTTTTTAATCAAATCATAATACAGTTCCAAAAAATAAAAAAGTTCTGTGCGAGAAAATAATTGCACCTATTAGTGGTCGTAAATTGATCAGCAGCCAATAACATCCTCGATATTTAATTACGAACGCAGGCAGCTATAGTATGGCAGGATTAGTCGTGTTGATAAACGTTGTTAGATAAATACCGTTACGTTATTAAATTCTTCGCTGATATCAAATTTCCACCTAGATGTAATGCACGAAGAAAATTTTCAATAAACAGAGTGCGATATTTAGGAAACTGTTAAAAGCTATCAAACAATATTTGCTGATAGCAAGATATTGTATTCTGACAATATTAGTTAGGAGATACTGACTTCTACGATTCTGTATATTTTACGAAATAAAATGGCGTAGTTTGATGTTACGATATTATTATAGAAATATCGTTAAGTAATGTTTTTTAATCAATTGCTGCCTCTGCAATCTAGCGATCATGTTCAAAGCAGTTTCCAATGTACACAAAGATTCTTAATTTTTATTTTTATTACTATTTAAGAAAATTAAGAAGAATAACATATCTTTTCATAGATTTTCTATCTCAATGGGTATACTGAAGGATTAACCCTTTAACTTCTAACGGTGCTTTATGGTATCACTTACCTTAGAACGCTCCCGTGAACTAAACATTTTAAAAACCTGGTACCACTTCTTTGAAGTCTTTTAACGAGGAAACTTCCAGTAACACGAAATTCTGAATTTTTTTATTGGAAGAAACCTCGAGGGAAATATCCGGCAGTTTCCTATCTGACTCTGCTTCTGATTTTTCAGAGAGAAATCATCCTTTGAATGAAGATAACCTATTTTCTTTGACATTTTCAAAACACGGTTGATAATAAAAAATGGTTGTATTAAAAATTTCGTATGTTTTATGAGATGACGTTAAAGCTTTATGTTTTATATTTATATCGTTTACTGTTGTCGTGGTGTGTATTGCAGAAAATGTTGTAGTTGCAATACATATCACATGTTACGTGTTTCTACTTTGAAAATATTATCGCTTAAAGTTCTGACCACTAATGCTTTGTATTAGCAGAGTGTTTCAAATTGCATAATTTTGTTGAGTCTATGGAATTTGTTATATTATATAGAAACGAGTAAAAGTACTAATTGGTCTTGCACGTATTGCTTTCAACTTATGACTCGTTAAAACCGGTATCGCTAAAACCGGTACCGTTCGAATCCTTTGCTCGACGGATCAAGAAGTCCGCGTGGCAGTTGCTAACCCTTGGGGAAGCTTTATTTTTGCTCCGACTAGATTCGAAGCTAATGTTCCTCCGGGGAGTTTGAGCGTTACCGTCGGTTCTTTTAGATTTAAATTAGATTGAACGCGGCTCGAGGAGACGACGCACCACCGGCGGATCCTTCAACCGCGTCAAAGACACATCCGCTTACCCTGCTTTCATCTGCATATTTTTCATTTTGCAATTTTCGTAGCGTGCGGCGCGATGCGACTCTCTACTCCTCGCGCCAGTTACTCGCTATTCAGCCTGTTCCTTCTATCTTCCCGCTCGACGGAACACAGGCCGGCGAGATTATTGCGCTGAACGTCTTCTTTTACGGCCAAGTCGGGCGAAATCACTCGACAATTTCGGAACACCAACGTAAACACGAAACCCAGCTGAAACGCAAAAGTGGATGGCGTCGGAGAAACGCTCGCGGAGCACGCGATGAAAATCTTGACACATCACGAGCGATAGCAGATTCGAGTCTCTATTATCGCCCAGATTAGCGACTTCTAACGAAGTTTTAGGATTTCGGGATTTTCAGAAGGTCCATTTTTATCTCTGATTTTATTGTAATGTGGAAATAATAATATAAGAAATAAAATAAAACAAGACAAGAAATTGTAGTCTTATTCGGTTGTGTGATTCAGTATCATTTATCTTATAGCCTCTCACATGATCCTCAGATATAGTTTCATGATTTATTAAGCTAATGTGCTTAATTGCTTTCCGAATAATGAGAACTGTGGAAATTTTCGGCTAAATAGTAAAAAAAAGTATCCGGTGGGGGCGGGGGGGGGGGGGGTCTAA